TGTCTCGAGTATATATATATATATATATATGTTATGCCGGCCTTCAAAAAGAAATTGCCTTCCTTGGGGATGAAGCTTCTTTCTTTCTTACTATCTCTTTTTCTCTTTTACTTGTCTTACCTTCTACTTCTTACGAAATACACGTAAGGTTTATGATTATAACCATTGAGTATGAAGACTCTATCTTTGCTTGACCAGGTCGATGGCGAACCGTAAGCATCGACCTTCTCGTGACGTTATTAAGCTGACCAATATACGATCCTACCGCTTGCTATACTCTTTATACACATACACATATACACATGAACACACACAAATCGTTAAACGTGTATCGTATAGACTGTGGAAGTGGAAAAACGAAAGGTTGAAAAAGGGAGAGCTAGAGATAGTAGATAGATAGATGAGGGGAAAGGGAGAGCAAGAGAGGGGGAGAGGAGAAAGAGGAAGCGGAGAAAAACTCATAAGCTGGATTGGCAAACTTGTCAGTGAGCGGTCAATTGCACCTTGCCATCGAGCTATCTATCTATCTCTCTCTCTCTCTCTCTCTCTCTCTCTCTCTTCTCCCTTTTTCGAGTGACAGAATTGCGAGCGTTGGCTATTCCAGAAAATATCATATTTCCGAGTAAAACCCACTGTCATTTCTATTCTCTATATCATCGACGCTGCGTAATGATGTTGTCGTAATACAATAGGTATTATTGCAAAATATGTATCACGTGAAATACGATTTCAACGCATTTTCAAAAAACGCTAAAGAGAAATGGGGAAAAACCAACAGAGGGAAATAGGATATTAAGTGCTATACTATACCAGGAAATAAACGATCCTACAGGGGATTGAAAATATTTAACATCATTTAATTAATTTTTCAATAAAATAAATACATAAATTTATATATACGTGCATTAATATATTGTTTCGTAAATAAATTTTGATATATTATATTTTTAGATTTTTTTTTTATAGAACGGACGGTCGTATCGAAATGCAACTACGAAATATAACAAAATCAATGGAATTATTCAAAATAAATTAAATAAATTAAAAAAAAAAAAAAAATAAGGGAGAAGGAAAAAATGAGAGATAAAAAAAGGGAAAAGAATTTGATCTTTAGTCAGATAGTAGTAAGATGGACTGTAGTTACGTTAACGTGGTTGAGAATTAGGTAAAGCGAATTGTACACGCGTATGCAAGTACGTTAATGCGTCGTTAATCGACAGCCTTTAGTAGAAAGGAGCCTTTGTGCGTTTGCCATGGTTTGCATGAACCCAGAAGCTGTATTGCCACGGCGACGTTTCGTCAGTGACAAAAGGATCGAGTCATAGGGGATATTTCGTCCAAACTCTCGAGTGCTCTACTGGGCTCTCGGAAACACGCTGTTGTTCTCTACTTTGCTTACGTGTAACCTGTATATGTACGTATGTATGTACGTATGTGTATTATATAAGCGTTTGCTAATACATACACATGTAAATATATATATATATATATATATATATATATATATATATGTTCTTCCCCTTTCTCTTTACCTATACAAGTACATATAACGTGATCTAGTTGAGTATCATTCTCAAACACACATATGAGTACACTATCATCCTTTAACAATGATACACACGTCGTTTATAGTACCCATCATATAAAATATAATTTTCATTTTCAAATTATACCTCGTTAACTAATAGGATCATCATACGAATATATTACTTTACTAAGTTTCCAGAATATATTATATTATATCTCTCGTTTTTCCGGGTCCTTCCGTTTGTTCGCTCCTTAGTTTATCTAGTTGAAGTTTGATCGATAAAATAAAAGGCTATTTATGAATATACCTTTATCTATTTTTAAGTATAATTATTTTTGTTCATCCACAATAATTATTCTTTCTTCTTAGCTGTCTTTAACAGTGAAAGTATATTACAAGTTTTGACAAAAATTTAATAACTTTTACGAACCGTAATATTAACTTATAAACTTTATATATTTCTCTCTCTCTCTTTTTCTAATTTATTTTAACATTATTTCTTTCTTTCATTTATTGTAAGTTAGCGTAAAAATAATCTCGCCACGATAGCCGGAAATACATCCTCTTTAACGCTTCGGCTGCAGGCTTTTGTCGAGAGTCACGACGACGTGCCTGCGATTAAAGGCACGTTCTCAGTCAGATGTTCGCGTCACGTTCGATAATTTCTTACCGAGAAAGAGAAGAAGAAGAAGAAGAAGAAGAAGAAGAAGAAGAAGAAGAAGAAGAAGAAAAAGATCGAGGAAAAGGGGTCGTAACAAAGGCTCGTCGACGTTTAATATCGCGCATCGTTTAAAATCCGGCACATTAATCTTCGGAAATTCGCGAGGATGGCAGAAGAGGCTCTCTCGTTGGTGGCTCTCAACGAAAGTACATTAGTAAGTACTTGATCCTCATTGGTACTTTGTAGTCCGTCTTTGGCAAGAGAAAGAAGAACTCCTTGATGCATTTCTTTCTATTGTTTTCCTTCCTTATTTTTTGTTTTTAATGTAACTATAAATAAAGAAGGAATCATTTTTCATTCGAACATTTTATGAGAATACATATGTCGTGTTATTTTTTTATCACCGATGTCAATTTGATAAAACAGATTTACTTAAAATTTTTCCTTCTTTTTTTTGTCTCGAAAACGATGTAATACAAATTTTCGTAAGATCTGTATGTGTGTGTGTGTGTGTAATTTTGTTCAAAATACGATGACATTTTCATCATCTTATATATATATATATATATGTATATAGCATTCTTCTCTCACCATTTTCCTACGGCCTTTGGCTCTTCCCTTTTGCAGACTACGAAATGGTAGATACGAAGGTGAATACACATATTCATCGTTTCCGTCCTATCTTGATCGTCTCCGTTGCATACAACGTATGATATTCTCCCATAAACGTAGGTAACACCCGATGCTTTCGTAACATTGCTATTCGATTTCAAACGTGCTATCTAGTCATCGCGAGATTTACCATAGAAATGTTCCATCTTTCTCAATTCACTTCCTACACAATTTATCTATGTCCTACCTAGTAGCTTTTTAACACCATTCATATACAGATAAGGGAAACGGTTTCATCGTTATTAATGATTACGAATTAGCAAGTTTATTCAAAGTCGTTAGACTTAATTCCCAAAAGGCATCAGTCATCGTGATAAAAATCATCTTGCAAAAGGGACAACCAAGACGACGACGACGATTCAAAGTCTTTGAATTATTTTCTCTTCTATAGAAGAATAATAATCATAACGTTACCATTTGTTAAATGTTGAATATAAAACATAAGATGTTCAGAAAAAAAAGAAATAAGAGAATAGAAAAATAAAAAGAAAAGATAAAATAAAGAAAGCTTATCTAATCGACGCGTGCGTTGAAAGAAGGGTCTTGGACGTTTGTCCTTCGTACCTCAATTCGACCCTTGAAGGTGAAGAGCTCGATACTAGGAGAGGAGAGACCGATGCTTCCCTAAGGAGAGGAAAAATATTCATGCCCGTGGGGACGCATCTAACGTGAAGAAGCGAGAATCTCGCTTTATGTGCATCTTTCCTCCCAACTTCCTCCCAACCTTTACCCTTTACCTTCTTCTCCTTCTTGATCTTCTTCCTTACCTTCCTTACTTTCTCCTTCTTCTCGGAGAATTTTCCTATTCTTCTTCATCTTATTCTCGGCTCACACAATTCCGTCTTACCTTCTATCTTCTTCTTTCAACAAGCCCTTTAGCGATTTTCCCTTTTTATCGTTCTAATCTCTTTCTCTCTCTCTCTCTCTCTCTCTCTCTCTCTCTCTCTCTCTCTATTTCTTTCTTTCTTTTTTTCATTTTATCTTTTTCTCTTTCATTTTATTTTTTCGTAGATATACACATATACACACACATCCACCAAAGGCTCTTGTTTCTTCATGCAAAAAGAGACGTAGAAGATGACGTCCCTGCTTTGACAGCTTTGCATAAATTACAAAAGGCTCGACAGAAACTACTCGAATTCTTCCTTCTTCTTCTTCTTTTTCTTAACTTGCTGAGTAAGAACAGAAGATAAAAAGAGAGAAATAGAAAAAGATATTGAAATAATAAGAAAGAAAGAAGTTACGAACGATGCGGTGATAGTTTCTCGTAAAAATAGTAAAGGGAAACGAGGAGGAAAAAGCAGAAGAAAGTGAGAGACTGTACAAAAAACGTGGAAAGAAAAAAAGAAATAAAAAAAGAGAGAGAGAGAGAGAGAGAGAGTGTGCGCGAATAGAAAAGGATGAAATGAAGAGAAAGAGTGAGGTCGGAATAAAGGAAGAACAAAAGGAAGCGAATCCGTAAAAAGATTTATCTTATTTGGTGCGCGTAACACCGATGAGAAACTAACTCTATTTTCTCGATAACTATGTTACTTTCCGTACGTGCAAAGCGCCTTTGTTTTCTATGAAAGTGTGCGCATTGTCAATAAACGAGTCGTCTTTTATTCGTATACACAGAAACAGAGAAACAGAGAGAGAGAGAGAGAGAGAGAGAGAGAAAGAGAGAGAAAGAAAGAGGGAGAAAAATAGCAAGCAAGCAAAAAAAAATATTTCTACGTCATTTTGCGATACTTTCGCGCGTATTTATCGTAGGAATCCTTTGAATCGAGGAAAATCCTATCGAAGGAATTTCAATATTAAATCAAAGAAAAGATCGATATTGTATGTATTTGCATATATATGCATATATATTTTTATTTTTATTTTTATTTTATTATATTCTATTTTATTTCTTATATAAGTTTGTAAAAAATATTACATTTACGTGATATAGACTCGAAAGATACGTGCACGTCCTTGTAACATTTTATGTAATATTTTGTCAAAAGGTAGCATCCGTTGGGAATCGAAAACGTTTTTCTAAAGATTTCGATTTGACGTTTGGTATGTAGCACGTAAGGTAGAAGACGAAGAAGAAGTAGAAGGGTGGCTATAATTTTGACCAACAGTCGAAGGAATTCGATCTAGGATATTATTTACCTTTGTCGAGCGACCTGGCCAGGAGAATTGTCGGCAGGATCAAGAAGACCATGTACCACGATAGCCGGTCCCGCATTCTTGCGAGGTTCCGAGTTCTCCTGGGAAAAGAAACATTGAATTTTCATTATTATCTTAAAATTCAGTCGATACTTTTCTTCCTCCTTCTTTATCTCTTTTACCTTTTTTATTTTCTCTTTTAATACAAAGAGAAAGAGAAAGAGAGAGAGAGAGAGAGAGAGAGAGAGAGAGAGAGAGAAAGAGAGAAAGAGAAACAGAAAGGAAAAACAGAAAGATTTTGCAATTGTGATAAATATAATACACAGGTACATAAATGATTCATAAATATATATATGATTCATAAATAAGTATTACGATAAAGTAAAGAGTTTATTACGATACAAACGGTACTTGTAAAATAATGAAACTATTACGTTTATTGGTGTATTTCTTGTTTCCTGCCTTTTTTTTTACGACTTTTAACTTGATCAATTGTTTTGATATCGAAAATGTTGAAAGAAAAGTATGTACACGTAGATACATTTAGAGATACATATTTCTCTGTATATATTAAAAAAAATATATGTATACAACGTGAATCGTTTCAGGCAATACTTTTAACGAGTTCGAATCGTTTCCAATGTTATAATGCATCTTGCATTTCTTTTATTAATAAACGTTCGATCTTTCTATTTGCGACTAACAAAGCGTATGAAAAATTACGCTCGAGAGAGAAATTTTTTTTGACAAATATAAAAAAAAAAAAACAAATGTGGAGGAAGGATATAATTTACGTGACATTTTCGTGACAAGCGGGACTTTTCAAAATGTAAAACAATTCAAAATGCTCGAATACTGTGTATGTGTGTGTGAGAGAGAGAGGAATCGCATAAATCGTCACGCCAGACTCGTTTCGTGTCGAGAGGTGTTTCCTTGACGATCGAAATTCGCGGATATCACCGAACTTTTCCATCATGATGTTTGTTACATTAAGGAGCTCTCTCCGAGGTTAATATTCTTCCGGAGAAACAAAAGGACTTTTATACGAATTCGTGTCACAATGTTTTTTATCATTTCTCACTTTAAGTATGAGCGGTATATTGTTCGCGTATTTACATAAAAAGCGTGCTATTTTCATATTTTTACATTTTTCCACTTAAAATAATACTTGATTTTAAGTAATTTTGATTTGAAAACAAAATACATTTATATGGCTATCAATGGATAATTTAAAATCAATATTTATATAATTTCATATTCTAGCGCTTCCATCCAAGCTATTACCCCTACTTCAAAATATTTTAAAAAGCTTTTCCTGTCGTTGTGATATATCGTATTTAAAGGTATTAAAAATTTGCGTATAACAATATTAAAAATATTGAATATCGTATAATATATTAACATGTTATTAATACACGCATACTGAATGTTTTGTTAATTAATTTTTGAAAATTTGGAAATTATTCATTTTGCGAGGAATACAAAACGATGAACGGACTTTTTTGTGTAAACGAAATGAGATATCAGTAATCATCGATAAACGAATAATATCTTTTATTTTCTTTCTTTTTATCCGAATATTAAAATGCATATTAATGTTTAATTAATTATTACTTTATTATAAGAATAATCAGTACACGTTTTATTTCTATTATTTTCCTTTTCCCTCATTGCGAGTTATTTTACTCACGTAAAGAGAATGAAAGAGTCAAATCAGGCATCGCTGTATGCACACCAACGAATCGATGAATTCGTAACGATTAATTCGAATCCAGTGGTACAATATTTGTGATCGCTGTACAGTTGCGTAAAGCGTAATTATTTGTCAAACAACGTGTGTTGAATAATCACGTGTAGAGGGTTGGAAGGAAAGGGTGGAAGATGGAGGGGAATGTTGGAGGGATCTTTAAAGGCATAACAGAGAAACATTACGTTAGTTGTTTTTTTTTTATTTTGAATATCTGTTGCATACAACATGTTAATTCAGTCTTTAAACGTTTATGTTGTTAATTGCAAAGTTTAGTTTTAAAAATCTCTCACGAGGGATGCGTAATTAAAATCAAGCAATGACGAGTATATATGTATATATAGGTCGAACGTATGGAAAATGCTCCTATTATAAATTTTACGAAGAAAATAAAAGCAAAACGAGAGAGGAAGGATTACATTTTTATTCTATATAATATTTACGATTCATTGTTGAAAATGGTATTGTTATTAAAACTTCTCAAAATTGTCAACAAAATAATAAAATTATAAACATGGAAAAAAATAAAAGTAAAAATTAAATATGATTTATTAGTAATATGAAAGAAACATACCAGCGCATCATATTTTCATTACTTTTATGTTCTTTTTTTTTCAGAAATTTTCGAGTTTCCGTAGTAGATGGTAATTTTGTTTTATTTTACACGAAAAGAGTATACACGTCAATCGTACCGAAATAAAGCTTTGTATTGACGCATATACTCGTCGAACATAATTAACCTGTTAACGGGGTTTTGTATTCACGCGAATAAAAATGTATCATTATTATCGATGAAAAGTAACAAACGATAAATTGAACCTTTTTCTCTGTATTTCTTTTTATATAAATATTATTTTTTTATTTTCTTATTTTTCTTTTTTACTATTGAAAAAGTAATGGAACAATCATAGTTTCTTTCACAAATTATCAATAAGATATATCCTCTCTATTATTTTGTTGTTTTTATTTATTAAAAGAATTTTATTCTTTATTCTTTTGCCGATACTCGAAAGAAACGAAGGAGAGAAAACGAAGTTAAAGTACGAGACATCGCTAATTGAACTGATCCAACTGTAAAAGTTAACGATTTTTCACATGAAAAAATGCAACTATGAACAAGTAGGAATGATTGTAGTACGCGAAACGTACCCCTGAGTAAAATCTTGTTTAATGGAATAATAGATCACTGGTCGGAGCTTAATGCAATGTCAATATTAGAGAATTGAAACAATCAACGGGACTGTCGACCGCGCGTACACGAGGTGTGATTTTCATCGAATCTTTGTATTCATTTCATTGCTGCAACGTTGAAAAAACTCTTGGTTCGTTTGAATATTTTCAAAGTTTTTTTCCTTTTTTTTTTTTCTTTTTCTTAAAACGATTACCTAAATTATTTCTATTTTACTTCTTACAAAAAGAGAGAATGAGTTAGTGTATCTTCTCCTTTTAAATTTTTCCTCATTATAAGCTTCTATCTTTACAGTTATTCTTTCTCAAACTTTTTATCGTAGGTCGATTTTCCGTGCGAGAAAACACGCCACTCGAACTTTTTTCCGTATTATTATTTTCTCTCTCTCTCTCTTCTCTCTCTTTCTTTTTTTCTTTTTATCCATTGACAACGTTCGAAGAAAGAAATAAATCGTTGCTACACAGGCACGTCTGTTGTTTTCTCACGGTGAAATATATTTTACTTATAGTCTGCAAGTGGTACCCGTTTATCTAAAGGTTTTCAATCACTGTTTGGCAAACATTTGCATTTTGTTTTTATACTTGCCCTTTTCGCTAATGGAAGGCATTTGCAAATTTCGTTAGAAGTGATGCCTTTGATCCCTTTTCATCGTGCTAGTTTCATACGTTATTTGTATTCGACGTCGTAAGAGAAAATTAGAGAAAATTATGTAAGAAAGAAAAATGATGAAAGAAGTAAATGACGGTGAGAAAAATTGTTCAATGATCTAACTTTTAAACATTGTCGTAGAATAATGTGATTCTTACGAGTATCGCGCGACAAATTTCAACGAAATGGATGCTAACTTAAATTATCGCGGTTCGTTTCGTTTAATTTCTTAACATAATTATTTTTTTCCGAGACGTGAGAAAGAAGATACCTACTTCTTTTTTTGTTTTAGACGAAAATTAATTTTATTTATTAAGAGTTCGCTCGCGTAACGGTCGCGGAAGTACGCGTGTCTATGTTTTAATACGTACAACCACTACGTCATCATTTGTCACGATTTCTTCTCGGGAGCGTGTCGAAAGTATAAAAAAAAAACCTGAACGAAGGATGAGAATGATTAAGGTATCGTTGTTGAAGTTGAAAACTCGGACATTTTTCAATGTGCGCGCGCTCTTACACTCCCTTTTCTTTTTCTTTTTCTCTCTTCCTCTCTCTTTCTCTATTGCTGCCCGAGGTTGGCCGATATTCGAGCGTGCACTTTAAGAGTTTTTAATCAGCAAACTCGCCTATCTCTCTTTCTCTTTCTCTCTCCCTTTTTCCCTTTCTCCCTTTCTGTTTCCTTCTCTTCGGGAGAGTTTTTAATCGGTCCTTAAAAGTGGGTTTCTACTTAAGCGAACGAGTTCGAATATCAAGAGTACGGAAGCAGGATAAGAGCATCGGCTCTTTTTCGAATCCTTCTTTTTTTTCACTTTCTCTCTTTTCTTTTTTTTTTTTGTTTTTTGTTCTCTATGAAAATCGAACAATTAGAGTAATATTACCATGCGATATTACGATGAATTAATCTTAGAACAAATGTACACACTCAATTATGATTTTATAACAATGTTTAACCAATTTTATATTAAAAGAATAATTCTATTAACCCCTTCTCGTACTATTTAGTTCGACAAAACTTGGGCCCAAACGGTAGGATTGCGTCAGAGTTATATCAGGGTTTGTTTACCGAACCTGACTATCTGTTCGCGAGCCTGACTGGATGATATTCGTGTTTGGGATAAAATCTTCATCACGTGTCAGGTTCTTTAAAGTATCAGGAATAAATTAATAGATTAATAAAAAGTGACTTTTTTTATTTGAATATTCGTTTTTCAAACAATTGAACAATCGGTAACAAGAAATGATATGTTAAAGAGTACATGGGATAGAAATTTTTTTGGTAGTGTATATAATTATCGTCATAATGATCATTATCATCGTCATCAAATCCTTCTCCACCACTTCATATACATATCGTTCTCTCTTATGTGTCCTTTTACTTCAAACTCGTACTGTCACTAGCGTGAGACTCGTATCTACATGCAAGTAACGAGCAGTACGCCCGCGAGCGATAGCGCGCGTTAATTCACGAGACGACGAGCCACGAAGGAGGATGGGACGAAACGAGATATTAAGCGCCA